TCAGTGAGACCTTGCCTATCTGAATGGAAGAACTGGGATATATTGGAGCAGCCTTCCCTGCGCTTAGCCTCCCTAACATGTTGTGGTCCCTAAAAGATATAAAAGCATAATATATCATTTCTTTAGGCTATAGGTCTATGCAATTATTTGTTAATTATGTAGATTACTTTTAATATAAACTGCTCATACTATTTATGTAAAATGCTTTTATTTATATTCCATTGCAACTTTAAACAGGTCTAAGGAGTTTATTGTTTTCATGTAGCCTAGGTAACTAGCCGGCCTGAATAATATGCACATGAAATGAAACTTGTTTAACTCACCTCAACATGTCTTTTACAATCATTTAACCCGCCATGGGCAATGCTGAAGTCACTGTTACAAACTGTACAGCGTGCAAGACTGTCATTATGTTTCACTCTTATAAGACAGGGGTACACTTTCGTGTAGTCTGGCGTAAAATGTGTCTTTTTCGCTTTTTGGGGCACTCTCCCTCTGCCATGATGCCGCTCCTGTGTCTAGATACACTGAACTGATAGGTTCCGCGGGAGAAGAGATAAAAGCCCGCCCACACTGACAATGATTGGTTGACTTACCAAAACAGACCAATCAGGATGCTCTCTGTCTTACATGCATTTCTTGATGCACACACGCGCGGCACACACACACGCAAAGTCTCTCGCTCTCTCCCTCTCTGTCGTGTCGTGCGCGCTACACGGTTTGGAGCACAGTCTAACCGCTCTTGCTCGCGCGCTCTTGATTCCGGGAGATTTTAACTAATTTGCGGCCATCAGGGAGCCGCTATCGATATGCGGGAGACTCCCGGAACTTCCGGGAGACTTGGGATGTCTGGTTAATAGCTAGTGAGAATTGGACCCTAATCTAAAGTGTGACACTTATTGCTTACACTAAAATGATCAATGAACAAAAAATGTCCTTGCTATAGACCTTATGTGCCAGAGAAACAAGTGCGCAACCATCTTTAAACCATCCGTTTTTGCTGTAGCTCTGTATATTTCTATGGCATCGCTCTTGAAGAATAATTAGCTGGTGACGTTTATTTACTTATTATAGAGTTACCGAAAGTTATCATGAACATGTTTTAAGCGGATGTCATGACACATGCAGTAGACCGGGAAGATTCATTCATAAATCTGTAAGATCTTGCCTTCATGCAGTGGAAATACAAACTGAAAAGGGGCGGGGCTACATAAGGCCTATAAACACAAAGCCCAAAACCCTCACAAGCCTAAAATGAAACCACAAAATCATTTCATGTGAAATGTGCTAAATCTTCATTCATTTCCATTTGTTTCAGTGGTACAATAACATTTTCCAGAGGCTGAGTCCACTGCTGTTTTCATTTCTCATTTCACTAGTGATGACTCAGTGATTGTAAAATGCGAGACGCACTTGAGTGAACCAGCACAGAGTACCGACTTTTATCAGAGAACACTGAGTTTTTCTGTGTGTTATAACATCCTCTCAGACTGATCTATTCACAATGATGCACTGTACGCCTCTACGGATGTGAGCAATCTTTTAACAATGACTTATTCTAATGCAGCAGCCCTCTCCACCTCATTTGAATGAATATTTCATCTCTAAGAAGGTTTATTCTGGTGTGTGCCGGGTCTCCTGCAGCCATTTCTCAAGGTTAGACAGAGTTATCACAGGGCCGAGCTGAAAAACAAGGATGTGCGGCTGAGAGGCGACAGTGAGTGATATCTCACAATAACAGTGTCAAGGAAAAGATGCTGTCGACTAGGAGAAAACATAACCGGATTATGCCATATGAATAATAATGAATGGAAATCAAAAGTACGCTCTCAGAAAAAAATGCAACAAAAGCTGTCAGAGACGGTACCTTTTAAAAAGGTTATAATAATGTACACTGTAAAAAAAAAAAAAACATGATTTATCACAACTTTTTATCTTCTGTAAAATAAACTTTAGATAATTAAAGTGGTGCAAACATCATTTATTGAGTTTCCATTTATCACACCAATCTCCTTCATTGTATTAACTCAAAAAATGTTATTTCAATGCACCCAACCAGGTAACTTAAAGTCCCCCTGTGGTGAAAATATTGTTTATATGTCTATGTTGTGTTTTTAATATGCTTTAAGACAAATCATGATGTATAAATTGACAAGTCAACACCATTGCTGAGTATTTTCTCCTTAAAACGGCAGTGAACAAAATAAGGTCTCAAAAAAGCAGTTTGAAATCGTCGGTGTTTTTGACGTCACAAACTACCTTGTAACCAATAACGTCAACGTGTGATCATCAACAAGTGTATCTCTGGAAAAAAGAAATCGCTTAAATATGTAATTTTGGTGATCAAAGATGAGTTTTAAGGGATAAAATGATTGACTACATGGGGGACTTTAATTTTAAGTTAAACCAACAATAATTGTTTTACAGTGTACCAGGAACCAATGCCCCTTTGAGTTATGCACTCTATAGGTACAAAGGTGTACATTTTGAAAGGGTACCAGCCCAGTGATAGTTTTAGTCCGTTTTTTTCTGATATTAGTGTACAGCAGATCACACACGTATTGTAACGTAACAGCGGACTGAATTCATTTCTGCATTACAAAGAAGCATTTGTTTCCACTTGTCTGGGGAAAAAAGGCTAATTAGAGTGTTAAGATGCACTAATTATTTCATCAGAGAGAACGGTATGGGCCACGTTATTTGTCTTGACCTCTCGTGTAAAACATGCCAGACTGTTTCATTAATTCATTACCTGGCAAAATTAATTATAATGAGGCCAGTGAAATGAAGTGATTAGGTTGGAATGCCCTTAAGTTAAGGCTCTTATTCAGAAATGATTTATGCTGATTAATCTACTCTATTAACTCATAATGCATTCTAATGTACCTTGACACCTGACTATCCTTTCATAATTCTTTGACGTTAAAACATTAGTTCCCATGGTATGTTTAAGTGGAAATGTAACCATATGGAAAACTTTAATGTGTTCCTGTTAAGAAGGAAACACGTTTATTTTTAAGCTCAACTCAGATGGTTGTTGGTGTGTACGGACCTTTAAAGTGGCAGTGCAATAAAAGATGAATTTCAATGAGATGCAGTTCTTTGATCTCAACCGGGTTATTCTGCATTCAATTCAAATCCATCAGCTTGTGTCCAGCAATCTATTTTTCAATATGTCTTTCAACAGAGAATTGCAATGAGCTTTCAATAAATAGCAACAGAGAGACAAATAATATCAAGATCAATGTACATTTGGAAAACCAAGGCTATCAGCTTGCCCAGAACCAGAGTAAGTCAGATAATATTAACAGAACAGACAATGTTAAGAGAATTCTCTGTGCCATCATCACCATGGCAACATGTCTTATCTTTCATGAATAGGTTATAAAAGAACTGTAATGTGTAAAACTTCATTACCATCAAATAAATAAATACGTAATTACTAGATGTCATTTTCTTGGATTGCATTTCAGAATGGGGGCTAAAAACAAGAGCAATTCCCTCAATATCTCTCGAAGTGTTTCTGCTATCTGGACACATTTTTGAAGGAAATCTGTAAAGCCCAGAGGATTCTCCTCGTTGCTCTTTTCCAGGTGCGCACATATAGCAACACAGCTGCCGTTTCAAATGCAAGATGGCAATCTTACGGTCTCTCTTTGAAGCTGAGATAATGTAACGCCGCTCACTGTTTAATCTCTTTCAAAGGCAGGATACTAATCTTTAGCCCAAACGTCACTGAGCTTTTTACACTTATATCCCCACAAATACCACTGTTTCTCACTTTGAACCACATCAGGTGAATAAGATGCCACTTTAAACGGCCGTTTAATTTGAAATATTCCCATGAGAAAGAAAAATTACAAAGGAGATCTCTTTAGCATTTCTGTCATAAGCGAAAAGAGACATCAGTAATCTCACATAGCAGCCATTATTAATTCTTATAGGCTAAGAAAAGGTTAAAGTCAGCATAAAATGGAAGTTGTGATAGTCTTTTCTTCCCTATTGTGACATATGAGTGAAACGGCTTCTCAAACAGGAAAAAAATGTAGGGCGGGACTTGATTTTGTCCATGGGGATTTAAAGGTGAACTAAGTAACTTTTTTACCTTAACCGAACAGCTTTGGAGTCATTGTAATGTTTATATTAGGGCTGTCAAACGATTAATCACGATTAATCGCATCCAAAATAAAAGTTTGTGTTTACATAATATATGTGTGTCTGTGTACTGTGTATAATTATTTTGTATATAAATGCACACATGTATATATTTAAGAAAAATATGTTATTTATATATAAAATGTTTATATAAAATATACATTATATATAGGCTACATTCAGTCTATATACAGTATATACATGCAAATATTTATTAAATACACATGCATGTGTGGGTATTTATATTAAAAATAATTATACACAGTACACACACATATATTATGTAAACACAAACTTTTATTTTGGATGCGTTTAATCGTTTGACAGCCCTAGTTTATATTACTGATTTCGTGTTGAATGGTGGTCGTCTCGCACCCCCCTGGTGCCTGTGAGCCGCAAAACCACCCTTGCAACTTTGGGCCGGCGACCAGTGTTAGGAAGTATCGTGTGATATCAGGTCTCGCGAGGTAACGAATTGCTTTACGGCAAAAAACAGATCTGATAAAATTCTGATAATTTTCATTGAAAGCGGGAGGGGAGTTATTTTGATCAAAGATTACGACTTGAATTTATAATACTGTAATAAATACTGCAATATTGTATAAAAAATAAAATAAAATTCTGTTTTATAAGACTGGGTTGAAAATGTTTATTTTTTCTTATTATACGGTATGCTGAATTTAACACTGATACTCTTCTTTACAGAATGAAACATGTCAAAATTTGTAACACTGTAAATATAAAGTTGAGTGATGCCAGTTGAGCGGCACAGACAGACAGAAAGACGAAAAATGAGAGACTGACCTCTGCTGGTAAAATCAGAGAATGACACTTGCAGAAAATGGTGCTGCTCACTGCAGAGACAAAGACGTCCAGCTCCACCTCTGTGGATCTAATGGGTGGAGGGAAAGAGTTATGGGTAAGGTTGTGGTGTGGTTGGCCATCTAGCTCCTAAATTACATCTAGAGAGGGGGAGCTGGACTTCACGCTCCACCCATGGCTCTGCAGTGAGCAGCCTCTCAGAAATTCCCCCAGAGCATCATGTTTAGTGTCATAAACAGTCAGATCTTCTCTGATTGTCTTATTTAGGGAGTTAAGGAGAGGTTGGTGGCTGCAAGTACACTTAGAGGAGTGTACTGGTTAGAGTCGTCCCTTCCAAACCACATGAAACTCTCCCCGGCCTGAGCCGTAGCGTTCATCTGAGACCTCGCCGAGTGATCTCTGGGAAAGCGCCTTCTGATTGGGTCCTTTCTGCCCTCTGTTTCCTGTTTGGGCAGGAAGTCGGTCCGATAAGCTGAGTTCTCCCACTGCGCTGCACTAACCGTACTCAAGGTGTCATAATGATGGCACAGGCAGTAATGAGTGTTATGCTGGCGATGCTCTTCAAGACATTTCTTACGGCCTAAACCCTTCACACAACATAAAAACATGCAAAGTGAAATGAGTATAAAGACATGAAATATAACGGATAGAATCACTGTTTATTGTAATGATGAACTCACCCGATCATACACATGTATAGTGTTTTGCAGTGCTGTGCGGTTATCATGCGCTGACAATGGATATTCTCTACCCATTGTTTTCTGCAACAGAAAGACTGGATTGATCAGCATGATACTAATTGTAGTCGGTTACTGGTTACACTAAGGTGACATAATCTGACTACTTTTTAGATTACTTTAGACCTAACTCATTTACCACATTGATTTGAGTAAAGGATAATGTACAATATTGATATACAAATACAAAGAGAAAGAAAGTATATTCCATTATTTTTTATCAACAACATAACAACATGAAGTGCATTAAATATTACACTGAGGTTCGTGAAGGAGAAGGAACTGCAGGGGGTTTGTGATTTTAGAGAAAAGCTATTAAGTAATAAAATCATAAAAATTTCAAATTAAAATAAATAGATAACCTTAAAAACATTTGTTTACCTGCATGTCATGTGACCATTAACTGACATCAGAGAACCATGGACCTAATTTTATGTATTATTATTATTATTATTATTGAATTAATTTTATAATCGACCTAACTTATTAACATAAAAACTAATGACTTGCTTCAAGTATATTAGGTCAAAGATGTTCAGCTGACAAAAAAGTTGGGGAATCCCTGCATTGCATGTAGGCCTAAATATGAAATGATGTGAATTTGTACATTTTGATGTGTTTGAATGACAAGAGCCTTCCAAAAGAAAGTAATACATTAAATGAATCACTGAGTGATAATTCAAATAATAGGCTAATTCATGTGTTTGGCAGGAGGAGCGGATTATATGCAATGTTGAGAAAACACTTGTTACGTAAATGTGAAATGATTTGTGTAATTCCAGAGATCAAATGCTGTGGGTCTGAGTTTTAAGTGGCTGATCTGATTTGATTCCAAAAACCTGGAAAATAGGCTTCTTAAAAAAAGGAAAATTTATAAGATAAAAAAAGAACTGGACTAGAATAAATAAATTATGCCCTTGTGAGAATACCATGTAATAACCATGTAATAAAAAAGTAATTACGAGTAGGCTACTTTAAAATGTAATAAAATCTAAGTACAAGTACAAATATTTTTGAAATCTGATTACATAATCCAGATTACACGGCACTGAGTACAGTAGAGGTAAAAATCCATTTCCTCCAGAATTTGCTATCTGCAAGTAAGTTTGTAGATGGTCATTGTAGTGTAAAACATCACTCTATTTTAATAGCAATGACTGACCTTTTCAGGATTGATGAATAATTTGGGATATCGATCCTGTGTTTGAGTCAGGGGTTGAGGAACTCCATGTGTCAACATTGAACCTGTGCTCGTACACAGATCACGTGACTGTCCACATCCAGTCCGAGACAAACCAGCGTGAACGAACTGGAAAACAGCAAAACCGACAAATGAATAACTGACTGACTGACTGAAGAAAGAAAGAAAGAAAGAAAGAAAGAAAGAAAGAAAGAAAGAAAGAAAGAAAGAAAGAAAGAAAGAAAGAAAGAAAGAAAGAAAGAAAGAAAGAAAGAAAGAAAGAAAGAAAGAAAGAAAGAAAGAAATATCTCGGTGTCGCCGATGTAAAAAAATTAGCTCAAACGCATTTATAGTAAAGAGGTAAAGTCAAGTGTGGTTATTATTATCATACCCAGTTTCCGCTCTGGTTCTTATTAAAATATCTCTTGCCTCCTTTATCCATTGTCACTGCAAGTATTTAAAATAAACACTCAACTAAAAGTTACATATTCCCACAGTGACAGACGAACTCAGTAGGTGAACTCAGGTGAGAGCGCACTGATTTTGAAACCATGGCAACAGAACACACACGCTATTCATGATCAAAACCACAACAAATATATGCATATGTGGAAATATCGAGGATTAAAATAGCATTGTAATAAAATAAGTAACGTAAAAATAATATATTTGATTAATTGCCCCACTATACAAAATGCAATACTTTCGATAATAATATCGGGGATTAAAATAATAATTTATTATGGGCGAATACATAACAAAAAATTTAACGTAGTTATTTTAATAATATGTAAGTTTACGTAAAATGTGTTGTTTATGTAAAAAGTAATACAAATAAATCGATATGTACTGCGAATATTTATTACATATATATATACCGTATATTCTAAATATAACATATTTATATTACTGTGTTTAAAGGCATATGTAGTGTTATTGTCAAAAACACTCTTGTAGAGCATTTCTACATCTTTCCACTCTTTTCTAGAAAGAGGCTTCGCTGACGTCACGTCTACTTCCGGGTGAGAGGTACAGTAACTTGTGATCTCTGAGAAGCTGCCAGGTGATGATAGACATAGATTTTACCTTGAAAACATCATTTGTTTTCATTTTTTTTTGTGATCTGAGAGTTATCGATTAATCTGACGGACTTCTGTATGTTTGTGTTATCGATATTTAAGCTAAAACAGCGAGAGACTTGATGAAAAAAGCAACATGGTCTGCTGTGTGGTGCTGTAGTAGATGTGATGTGTGCACTTAGTAAAGCAGATTTATGATCACTTACAGTCTATAAGGAAAAGAATCGGTGATTGTTGTATTTTGGACGTTGCTTTCGTGTAAACCGTCGTTTCTGGATGGATGAGTGTGGTGAATATGAGCTCTCAGGATAAGAAGGCAGACTCAGATCCCGGACATGAGGAGGATCACAGCAGCACTGCCACTGAAGACAACAAACAGGTCCAGACTTACTGTAACATCATAATCTAACACTCTGTCATCACAGTAAGATGACAGACTGCTGAATTTCACACTGTCCAGTTGCACTGATCACGTGTGTGTGTGTTTAGGTTGCATATTGTTTATTATGGAAATGTGGCTGGTTTGTAACATAATCAGTCTAGTCCTATTGAGGTGAATGGTGACTTGCAACCTAATTGTTGTGTTTGAAATATTTGTCATTTGTTCTCTAGGAGGCGGTTATTTGTCTGGGCAACAATGAAGTGAAGAGTCGTGCGGTAGTGAAGTACTCGGCCGCTCCACCCCCCACCTCCTATGCATTACTGCAGGAGAAGACCGACCTCAAGCTCCCACCAGCAAACTGGCTGAGAGAGAACGCTCACCTGGGCCCTGCGGGGACCACCGTACTCGGGACCAGCAGGAAAAGCAAACCCTTCTCCAGGTATGACTGCAACATGTTATTTGGTCACACTTCATATTAGGTGTCTTTAACTACTATGCACTTACACTTACATAAAAAAAAAAGGTGAGGTGAGATACAGGTAAGGTTTGGATAGGTTTAAGGGTTAATTAAGGGGTAAGGGAAGGGTCAGTAGTGTAATTATAGATTTCATTATGGAAATTAATTACAGATGCAATAATATGCAGGTATTGTACAATGTAAAAGACAATCTGGTAAGTGCATTGTATCAAATTATTATTTTAAATCATAGTACATAGTAAAGACACTTACCCCTGGTTTCACAGACAAGGTTTAAGCTAGTCCCAGACTAAAATGCATGTTTAAGCTGTTTTAACTGAAAGCAACTTGTTCTGAGATATCTTAAAATATGTTAGTGCCATTGTTTTGTCTCAAGATTTACACCATGTTTATTTCTAAGGCCGTTTTATAAAAGCAACTTAAATGTCCTAATTAATCCTGGCTCAATCTAAGCCCTGTCTGTGAAACCGGGCCTTAATATAAAATAGGACCTTATATTTAATGCGAGTTTGCATATTGAAATGTTAGTGAAGCTGATCTTTCCATGCCTTTTTGTGTTTTCTTTGTTAATTGTAGTTTTGGGATGGCGTACGACTTCATCGACTGTATAGGTGATGATGTTGATGTTGTATCTGATTCAGAGGTGAGTCTGTTTTGTTGTGAATGCAAACTCTTTTTTTCTTTTTCTTATATGAAACAATAAATTATTAAATGGCTTTCTAGAACACTTGATTCTGATTTGTCGATCATGGCATTTACATATTCTTGTTTAATGATGTTAAGAATGTAATTGTACACTTGACATGCGTACATATACATATACGTACATATAGTGGTCATGAATTAAGAATTCATTCTCTCGTTTTTTTCTCTCACACAGTGAAATAATTTGTTCCCTCAATTTAATAATTTGTGGTCATGTTGTACTATTTTTTTAATGAAAGAAATAATTAATACTTTGTTCAGCAAGGATGCATTAAAATGATCAATAGTGACAGTAAAGACTTTTATAATGTTACAAAAGATTTTCTGTTCATCAAAGAATCCTGCATTTTTTAAATCACGGTTTCCACAAAAACATTAAGCAGCACAGATGTTTTCAACATTGATTATATCTAAAAAATATTATTATAATCAGTTTATTGAGCAGAAAATCAGCACATTAGAATGATTTCTGAAGGATCATGTGACACTGAAGACTGGAGTAATGATGCTGAAAATTCAGCTTTGCATCACAGGAATAAATTACATTTTAAAATATATTAAAATAGAAAACAGTTATTTTAAATTGTAGAAATATTGCACTTTTTTCGCTTTTACTATATTTTTGATCAAATAAATGTATTGATTTATTGATACATGTATTAGTTTAACTTTTTTTTTTTTTTTTTTTTACAGAACATCAAGAAGTTGCTGAAGATCCCCTACAGTAAGTCTCATGTCAGTATGGCTGTTCACAGAGTGGGCAGCACTTTACTCCTAGATGAACTGGACATTCAGGAACTCTTTATGAGGTCATCACAGGTAACCGGAAATAGTCACCTTATTTCTCTCTACTGTACTAGTTTTTTGTTCAGGAGCCTTTAAACGCATCACCTGGTGGCAATTCCCCAAACCCTAAATCTAAATACTGAATTATATAGTAGTAAAACATTTAGTTATCCTGTTCATGACAAGAGTGTTAATGCCATCCTAAGATGACTTCTATAAAATAAACCCAACATTGCAACCGTCCTGTAGACTGGTGACTGGACGTGGCTGAAGGAGTTTTACCAGCGTCTCATTGACCAAAAGTGGCAGAGAAAGAAAAAAAGTAAAGAGCACTGGAATGAGAAAGCCATCCTCTCAAAGTTTCTCTATTACAGGTGAGAACTGACTTTACACGGTTATCATCTCATGAAAGCACTGATATCCATGACTTACACCCACAGTACTCTCCTGTGTTTCAGTATTAACAGTGATGGGACTGCGGTGCCTGTGCCATCAGATACAGATCAGGCGGCAGAGGAGGGTTGTGGGACGGCGGCTGATGGGCCGTCTTGGCCCGCCACCTTCAACAGTTCCACTACCGATTCAGAGGAGTCTGCGATACCCAAGGAGGTTCGGGCAGCCTTTCCTCTACTTCTCATGTCATGTGTTATCAGTGTGTTTGAGGCTGAATCGTCCTGTCCACTCGTGTCTTTCAGGAGCAGGTGGATACATATACTTTAGGTCATGTGTCTTCAGTTCCTAAAGAACAGAATCTACCCACGCTATTCAATGAAGGAGAAAACAGCCAGGTAATGGTATTTACCCAACATTCCCTAACATCCAAAGTCAAATCGTGGACCCACAAGTTGTGCCTTTATGACACTGTTGAAAAAAATCTACTCTTCCTATTTATATCACACTTCACAGGTTCATTAATCCCAAGATATTTACTTTTTGTGTAAACATTTAATTTCTCTTTTACTTAATACATTTACTTTATATATTGTTTTTTTTACTCAATTGATAAAAGTACATCACAATTACATTGTACAGCACAATATATATCTATTTGTATTTTGAACTGGCATTTTTCTTTATCTCTCTGACTCTCTCAGGGTTTGAAGAATGACTTTGTCCGGAATATTTTATGGACATTTGAGGACATCCACATGCTTGTGGGATCAAATATGCCCATATTTGGAGGTGGTCGCTACCCAGCAGTCAGTTTACGGCTCAGGTTAGTGTCCTAGATATGTTTTTTGTGTCATCTCATTTATTTTTAGGATATATTTATCTGGTTATGAATTATTTACAAATGAATTACATTTTGCTAAACCCTCTATATACACTACCTTTCACAAGTTTGGGGTCAGTAAGATTTTCTTGAGTTTCTTTAATACTTTTATTCAACAAGAATGCATTAAATTGATTAAAAATGACAAAAAATATGAAAACCTTCTATGCATCAATGAATCCTGGAAAAAAAGGTATCATAGTTTACACATATTATTAAGCAGCACAACTGTTTTCAACATTGATGATAATAATAATTAATGTTTCTTGAGTATCAAATCATCATATTAGAATGATTTCTGAAGGATCATGTGACACTGAAGACTGGAGTAATGATGCTGAAAATTCAGCTTTGCATCACAGAGATAAATTACATTTTGAAAAAGAAAACAGTTATTTTAAACTGTATTTATTACTATATTTTTTAAACAAATAAATGCAGTCTTGGTGAGAATAAGAGACTTCTTTCAAAAACATTTAAAAAAAATCTTACCGACCCCAAACTTTTGAACGGTAGTGTACACTATATATACTATCCCTATGTTTAACTATCCTGATTTCGCTTTGTCTTAACAGGGACAACAACAAACCAATCAACGTTCTCACAGGAATTGATTACTGGCTGGATAATTTGATGTGTAATGTACCGGAGCTGGTCATGTGCTTTCACGTCAATGGCATTGTGCAGGTAAGATGATTTGGTGATTATTAAATCCATCTGTTAGTTTTGCACATATTGATGTACAATAATGTTCATTTTTCTAATGGTTCAACTCTCGTTTATAG